AAAATAGGAAAAGAAACAGCAAATATCCAGAATGTGTCTTGGGAGAGTAAAAATAGCCTGGCAGGAATGAGGTAGGGCAATAGGCTGATGTTCGCACTCTAATCACTAAATTCACCAGTTTAGACTAGGATATGAAATGTTTTCAAAAAAGCATATCCAGGGCAAACTCAGTAGTTTAGGAATCCCGTCATTCCTTTAAGCCTGTGACCTGCACACCTCGAGCACCTATGTGCGAAGGGCCAGGCCCCATTCTGAACATTCAGGATACAGCACTGAGCGTCAGAGGTGAGCTCTTTTGGAGCTCGAGTGGCGTGGACACAGATGATAAGCCAGTAAGCTAGTAAAATCTTATCACGTTAGATGGTGGAAGCACCATGGAGAACAGAAGCAAAGGGGGTTGGGTGGTGAGGGGTGTGGGTTTCGATGGCATGGCTAGAAAAGGCTGCTAATTTGGACCAGATGGCTTTGAGCAGACTTGGTTGTCAGAGCGAGCCACAGGCTATCCAGGGAAAAGCACTGGGGCTGGTTAGGGCTTCCAGGTTAAATGCAGGTGTAGGAAGGGGCTTTGATACAGGCAACCCCAGGGTTAGAAAATACTCTGCAAAACCACACGTTAGTGATAGGGAAAGCTATGCAGTAGTCGGCCGTCTTGCTCAACTCTCACAACCCCATAAACCAGAGGGTTTAGTAACTGCCTTAGAAAATGAAGCCTCCACATTGCTCTTGGGATGCTAAAATCAGCTGCTCTCACATTCACACCCAGCCTTCCTCTTCTGTAGTGCAGAGTGGAACAGTTTGCACATTACTTAACCAGTTTTCAAAAGCTTAGTCACTTTTGCTTTTAATAGATGCGGGCAGTTGGTATTTACCATCCTGCTGGTATGATGGCAGTCACCAAGGGTAGCGACACCCAGCCTGTGTTCCACCTGACAAAACCCATCCATGTGGATTGCTGACTCGACAGAGGACACTTTGGAAGGGTGGAATGCTAGGAAAAGGCCGCTTTTCCTAGCAGCCCCCCATGTTTACTTAGCTTCCAGTGTTTTACTTGCCATCTGTTGATACACATTATTCCACCTCAGGGTGGTCAGAAGAGGTGTTCGTGTGCAGCAATCTTCCTCCTTTCACTTGCTGATCCCCCACCCCCAAGGCTGACAATCAGTTTGGCTATTTGACCTAAAGGAGAAATTAGCGGTTCTTGAGGGAAAACATCTAAATTAATGTCCTTAAGAAAAAGGAAAGGGGCCCCTGGGTGGCTCAGTCGTTAAGCATCCCCCTTCTGCTCAAGTCATGATCCCTAGGATGGAGCCCGACAAAGGGCACCCTGTTCTGTAGGAACCCTGTTTCTCCCTCTCCCACTCTCCCTGCTGTGTTCCCTCTATCACTGTCAAGTAAGGGGGGGGGCACATACATAGCTGTTTTGAATACTTGTCCTCAAAACAACTTTCCCTATTTACCAGCTCTCTACCACTCGATAAAGGGATTTTACTGTCCTATGCTCTAGGTGAGGTCATGTGCAAGTAGCAAAATAAACTAGAACTTACCTGCCGTCTTTACGTAAGAAGAAAATCACTATGAAACTAGACTTACGGCATCAAACTGTTGGAAACTCGGGACTGGATATCTAGTAACCCTACAGTACAACAGTGCTCTTGCACTCTTGGCTAACCAACTGTGGTCTGTGTCCTCCCCCCACAGAGGACCCCTCTCATGAGTCACCTGATGCCTGAAGTTTCATTTCTTCACCTCAAACTGTGACACATTCATGCAAAAGCACTCTGGAAGGTATTCCCCCATCCCCATGCTTCCTGCTTCTCCGCTAGCTGGTACTGAGTGTATATGAACAAAGGGTGATGTCAAGTGTATCCTGGAGGTGGAGGAGAGGCATCAGTAATTGAAGGAAACCTCACTGAACAAGTCATTACTTTGAAAAGACTCTTCCCCTAGGCTCATAGCTGACATTTTCCTACTGAATTGTATGGACTCCTGTTCAAACCACAACCACTCAGAAATTCTTATGGTCCAGTGTTGGGAGGAATCTTGTATGCCAGTTACCAAGCTGTTAGAGGAAACCATGTGTAATACTACAAATCCACAATCTACACGCTCTCAGAAAGTGTATTAGAATGTTCCAGTAGTTAAAAACATGCCCCCCAATAGTAAAAAAACAAACAAACAAACAAAAAACCTGCTTTGGACTTCCAACAACTAATCAACATTATGATCAGACACACCGTTGCTGCACTAAGGGATGGACTTGGGGGAATTCAGTGGGATAAACCGAAAACTACCATCATTATGATTTTTAACTTTATCTGCAAACTCCCCACAGTAGAAAAATCTGTATGTAACTTTCTACTCCCCACTTCAATAGCCACTGTTGACCAGAAGCCTCTCGGACAGCAGATTAACACACTTTGTATGTTGTATACTGTAGTCTTACAATAAAGCTAAAGAAATATTGTAAAATACACTTAGAGTACTGTAAAAAAAAAAAAATCCATGTTTAAACTTTAGTTTAAAGCCACGATGTTCAGGGGTCAACTGGACTGACATTTCACAGGCAGTATGTGGTCTGTAGCTTTTCCTTTGAGCCCATCTCAGTCAGGCTTGCTTCCCTTGCTATTCACACACACACTTGTCAAGTGCGCCTTCTTGGTCCTCATCTTGGCTAGTTTGCAACAGGTAGCCCTGAAACACTGTCCACTTGACTTCCAAAACACTCCTGTGATCTTCCTACTTCAGGGACAGCTCCTCTGAATCACTCTGCCAGTTCATTATGCTGACCATCCCAAGCTCTAGATCACAGGGCTAAGTCTGTCCTTTCTAGGTGATCCCACCCAGTGTTTTGGCTTCCATGTCATGCACTGAGATTTTCCCAGTAGTCTTTAAAATCTTTAGATCTCTCCTCCCAAGTGAAATAGTTAACTGCTCACCCAGTTCATTAGGTCAGCTCATGTCCCCCTTCTGCTCAAAACCCTTTTATGGCCTTCCTGCAGGCCTTGGTTTCTGCTTTTCCTGGATTTTCTCTTCTATGCCTTATCCCTGTCATTGTGGGTCCAGCAAACCAGCCACCTTGTCCCCAGAACGTGCCAACACACTCCACTTCAGACTGTTTACTCTTCTTTGCCTGAACTGTTCTGCCCCCAGATACCCACACAGCCTATTTATTTGCTTTCCTACTCAAATCACATTTTAAAGGCCTTCCCAGACAATCCCATCAAAGTCCTTTTACAAGTTTTCTCCAAACTCGTTTAACAAAGCCTAGGGCTTTAAGGGCACTAGGAACAAACTTTTCTCAAGCTCAGCACTGACAAGGACATAAAATGACATGCCCACAAAGTATGCATCAACTGTTACTCTTGCACAAAGTATCTTAACCGGACTCTTAACTGGGAATAACTAGGAAGACTGAAAATAAGCATTCCTAGGCAGGACTGACCTGGACTCTTCACTTCCTACAAAGCCTCTGCGTCTCCTTTTCCAGTCTTTTCCACAGCTAGCTCACTGAATCAGGTTTCAGCCTAGATGGTAGAAGACCTCGCACACAATCAGGTGGTCACGTTCATAGCACTGACCACTGCCCAAAAACACTTTTCCCACTAACGTTTCAGAGGGCCAAGTGGCCTGGTTCAGTAACTGGAGCTTTTCTATTGTAGTGTCAGATCAGGATGCTTAAAATTGCCACCAGCTTTAGGACTGGTTTCCAGTATTTGGGTTTGCTTCCAATCATCACCAGGGGGCACTATCAACCTTAATGTGTCTCACGTTCTGAACCACATTGTGAACTCTTGACACCTCCGGGGCAAATTCCAGATGGCTAAGTCACTGGATTCGCCCTGGGTTCAAGCGTCATAGGACCAGATGAGTCACTGGCTTCCATTTACTTTTAACCCTTACTTTTTTAAAAGTGAAATTAATCAAAAGGCAAGGGTCTGGGAAATTCTTTTCCAACACTTTCCATAAACTCCAATTTTAGACACTTTGGAGTAAACCAGATCTTCATTGTTGACAAGGTTTACTTGAGTTGCAGAAATTTCCCTCATTTTAGCCTGTACTCCCCCATTCAATCCTGACTGCCACAAGGAGATAGACAGAAAGCGCGAGGATTTTTCTTGCATCTCTAGTGGAAACCTTAGCAGCAGACAGAACTGCTCCAGGTCTGTCAAATGGATGCATTTTCCTTATTCTTCGACACCCACAACCCTTTCCCATACAATAGGACACAATAGCAGCATTTTCCTCAGCCCACCAGGTAGCTCACATTCCAACCAGAACTTCACCTTTTAAAGCAGGGGCTGGCAAACCTTTCTTGTGAGGGGTCACATGGTTGTTTTAGGATTTGTTAGGTCTTAGGATCTCAGGACCTCTGTCACACTCTGCTCTTAACAGTTAAAAGCCAGTCAATACACAAAACACATGAGCATGGCAGTGTTCAATAAAGCTGGACACCAATTTAGGTTTCGTCTTTTTCACATCCCACCACCTATTTTCTTCCAACCATTTAAAAATCTAAGTTCCAACTTAAAGTCACAAAAATAGGTGGCAGGACCAACCAGTTTGCCAACCCCATTCCAGGGAGCTTGACATAAGCACTCCAGGAGACGTCTAGGTTTCTCTAGAACTTGGCTCTACTTGACTTATGATAAATAAGATCACACAATACTTTGCTTCCAAACTGTTATTAGTCTCTTTTTATTCTTTTGGTGATCTCCTCCAGAGTTAACTACTTCCGTTTGTAGGTGATGAAATGTGTAAGGAATCCACTTCAGAATGTTGGCCCAGCTATGAGCATGGTCTTTCCCTTTACTGGAACTCAGAATTAAGACTTTGGGTTCTTGTTTTTTATATTCCAGTCCCAGAAGTAGTTCTCACTGTAGAAGTTATCTGCAGGCAGTCTTATGCTTTCTAGCAGTAGTCTACAACCAGGCTCTAGCTTCTCCAGGACACTACACAGGATGGATTTAAATAGGAGTTAAACTAAGAGGCATTCTCTCAAATGAGTTTAAATGCATTTTATTTTTAGACAACCTACATGACATGTTTTTCTCTTAAAAACAATGCCTCCGCTCCAAATAAATCAGGGTCAAAATAAATGAAGAGCTCAAGATGACATCAGTCCCATCTAAGTCCTGGTGTTGTGTGGATGAAGAGCAGCAGCCAGTTACAACAGGTGATACGTCCAAAGTAATGGCCAGATGCATTACTATAAAAAAACAAGAAAGGTTGTATTAACACATTTATCCAGTATGAATATATTTAACATTTCTACACTGCAGATGTATTCCCCTATTCAATCTGGGCTGCCACAGAAGACAGACAGAAAGCGCAGGGATTTTTTTCTCTCGCATCCTAGTGCAAACCAAAAGAACAACAGCCAATTGTTCAAGGTCTATCAGTGGATGCACAACCATCCTTACCATCACGGGTAGCACAGTTTTCTAGAAATCTCATTCTGCAGCAAGTCCCACTCACTTTTTGTTCAACCAAGAAAAACCACAGATATTCCTGGAATAATTGCCGTAACAAATGATCTGTACCATCCTAAGACATTTCTGACCACTGTTGTCCCTAATCTTACTTAGTGTAGCCTAAAGTTGATCTTATTGCTAATTTATATGGAAGCCTCTGAATGCTGGGATAATGAATGCTTTCATTCCTATATTGCCTCCAGTAATTCCTTGCATAGTAGACATTCATTTAATTTTACTAAAGGACTGGGCATATTGGGTAAGCAGCCAGCTCTAACTTTATTTACTAAAAGCTGGTAACATCAAGGCTTTCAATGACCAAAGTGAAAAAGATTTCAGGCACACACATGCCACTCATGCATGCATGGCAGCATATGAAGAGAAGGGCCATTTCTATGGGGGAAGATCAAACAGGATGTTGTTTCTGATCTCCAGCTTACGGATTTGAGCCAGCTACAAGAAAGGCTTTCTGTAAATAAAAATTCTAAGTCCCTTTCTGTGTTGTAAAAACCTTTTACATGTGAAACACAACCCTATTAGACTCCCGAAAGAAACAAGAGCTAGACCTACATTTTACAAAGACTGCTAGAAAACCCATTCTAACTATCCCAGGGGCAGGGAACAAGGGCTCACACCAAAAAGGTCTCCATTTTACATCACTGCTTTCAACCCACATCCTTATACTTACACATTTCTCCATCTCTAAACCATCCTTAAAGAAAATCATATATGGGGTCACACCATCCTCACGGTAGTCCAGCAGAGCAACCATGCCATCTGGATTCATGTTTTCACCAATAAAGAACTTAGGAAGCAAACAACAAATACCCAGAATTAGACCATTATATACAAATCGTATCAAAACAAACTACAATAACACAATCAAAGGAGGATTCAAAACACCACAATTTAAGAGATTTTCACCGGGAGGGGAAAAAAAACCCTAATCAAACTTCTGTTCACCAAATGGTAACACTGTAACAACTGACCAAAGTACAGGGCATTTCAGAACACTTTTAGACTTTCTGCAAACACAACCCCACATATGTACCATTCCAAACTCTGTTTACATCATCAAGCATAGGGAACATACAACGAGACAACACATTACAGGGATAAAGTTATATGGCCAGAGGACATGTGAAAGCTGAAAAAGCAAAGAGCCAGGCTGTAATGAGTTTTTTCTTTACTCCTATAGAGGTTAAGGGAAAGTCACTGAGCTTCCCAATAGAGAAGTGTAGAAAGAACTCTTAGTGGCAATGAGACACTGGAGTTGGAAATAAAAAGAAGACTGGAAGACCCCAAAAGTGGTTAACAAGCAATTCTAGACTGGGAGAAATGAAAAATGTCCTCTGGGAATGGAGTACGGATGAGACTCTGGAATCAAGCATACAAGATCTAGAAACACACCTGGGGGCAGGGAAGGCTACTTTCCACAGCCTAAACTACTGGAATTGAATCTATGAAGCATTTAAACTGCTCAAAAGATCCAGAAGACAGCCAGGTTACATCACCAAGTCAAGTAACTTGTTGCTCTGGCAGCTAAAATTGCACAGTTCTTTGACACAAACATTTATGGTATTTACCTGGTAGTTTTTGAAATTAGCAAGGATGTGCTTGATTTGTTCTGCAGCCCCTGTCATAAAAGGCTTTACTCTTTCTGGCCTCTGTTCTTCAAGTTTGCCTTTGATGCTAAAACAGTATTTTATTAATAGGTTAAGTACTCAGTTCTCAGCAAAATGATCTTTTTTTTTTCCCCCCAGTAAAAAAAATCCAAACTAAAACAAGCTCTGAAAAGGGCAACTAGCAGTCACTGGGCCAGATTAACATGCCACAATCAAGAAACTAAGAGCTCACAGGATCCAAGTTTCAAGACTGTTTACAATTTTTGATTTCATGTTATTCCCAAAGCACACTTCCAAAATACTAAAACCACACTTCATGCCACAGTATGTTCACATTAATTTATAGAAAACCAACTATCCTTGTGAGCTCACAACAGAAAAGATTAAGGCTTTTCACAAGTACACCTGCTAAGATTCCTCCAAGTTAGCTTATCCCTGAACCAACAGGACTCCAGGCAGTAGGTGTGCTGCACCAGTAGCACTTACGATTTCATATAATCTTTGATGTACTTCTTGTAGGCTTCTTTTGTGAAGCTGGTTTCCTGCAAGTGATGGTTCATGACAATATCAACTCCAGTGATGACTGTGCTTTCGGTACCTTCGCCCTCCGGACCTTCAGCGGAGGCATTTCCACCAATGAGCGAGTCATCAATGTTACCCTCTGTCCTACTGACCATCTGCATTAAGAAATAAAAAATGGTTCGGTTTCACACGTTTTGACCTTAAGGAATCCCCCAAATCTGTTACCAGCAGTTCACATATCCATCATCCTCCCACCAAAAACTTTTGACTTTTGCCAAAAAGCACTAAAACATTGTCATGAAGAAAAAAACTGGAGCCGTCAGAAATTCCTGGTACCTCTTACGTCAGAAAGAATTCTTTGTTGACCAAAAAGAAACGGGATCATTTACCCCAAGCCGAAGTTCTGTGTGGGCTTTTGGGCTGATGAACAAGCACGTGCAGAGCAAACGCAGAGAAGCTTGGGGCTCCCTAACCCCAGGCTACCTGTCCTGGGCGGCCCGGGAGGAGGATGGGCGCCAAGGCGGCGGACCTATTTCCAGGCTCAGCTCCGCCTCCACTTTTCTAGAAAAACCCGAGCCCGGAAAGAGCGTCTCCTCCGCCAGGAGGCAGCGGAGAGGATTGCACAACTTCGGGCGGGGGAGCGGCGGAAACCCGAGCCTGCCCGGCCTTGCCTCCCCCGCGCCGCGCGGCCCGACCGACTCACCTTCCCCTCCACCTCCAGGCACAACCCGTCCGCGATCTCCCGGATCTTGTAGATATCGGAGAACATCTCATCATCTGCTCGGGGACACAGACCCGCCCGTCACGGTGCGCCCGGAGTTTCTGGAACCGGCGCCGCCATTTTCCGCGCGGGCCGGGCGCACGCGGACCCCGCTCCTCCCCGGGAGCTCGAGACCCTGAGGCGCGCCCCAGGCACCGACCCCTCCCCGCTCCCGGAAGGGCCGGCAGCGTCCCCTAGGCCCACGACAGCGGCGGCGTCCTTCTTCCCCGCCCCCACCCGCGTCCCCTGCGCGCGTCAGTAGGGGTAGTGCAGTCACGACTCACGGCTGATGAGGTCCCGGTAGATGATCATGACGACGGCTGAAGAGAGACGACGGCGGCACTACCTCAGCAAGAGCCGGGAGCTCTGAACGAGCGCGGTGCAGCCGGAGCGGCACTCGGGGGGAGGGGGGAGCGGGCGGAAAAGGCCGACTCAGCCGCTCCCCAACCTCATATAGAGGGCACGTCCCCCTACGTCATTGCCCGCTGCGCCTCCGGAAGCGCCGCAAGCGGTGACGTGGCACGCAGAGCCGCGGGAGGTGGAGCCACGGCGCGGGCCGGTGAAGGGAAGCGAGCATCCGGGGACTTGGCCCGGGGGCACAATGCTGCGTTCCGCGGTGCTCGCGGTGGGGTGGCAGCTGGGAGACGGAGAGGAAGGGGTTCGCCGGCACCCAGTGCGGAGAGTGGGGGAAGCGGGGCAGGCTCCCCGCCCCCTCCGCACCCTGCTGGGCTGCCCTGGGAGATGCTGGGCCTGGGTGGGGCTTAGATGAAATCTCTTCAAGCTTCCGCCGTGCGCCTCGCCTCGCGCAGCTCCCACCCCTTTCTGGGAACAAAAATGTCAACTGCTGTGGAGGACTTCGCGTTTACGGAGGGTCGGGGCCTGGGGAGACGTCGAGGCTGTCCACAAGGATGAGGGTAGGGGACTGTGCTTTTTGGCCTCGCTCTGGGTTCTCAGGAGGCCTCGGAGAACTTGTAGCGTTTGGCCCAGGCGCTGCTGCAGCTGTAGTTTTCGGACGCGTTCGTGGGGCAGAGCCGAGTCCCGGGATGGTCGTCGCGCCGCCCTCTGGGACTAGTCGTGGGGGGCGCAAGGTCTGTGGGGAGGAGGTAAGGTGTCCCTAGAGTTTGCACAGCTTTCCCATCTCCTAGTTGGGTTCCGTGTAGAGCTTGGCGATTCCTCAGGCAAACATCCTAAGAACTTCCTTTTCTGTTTTGCACTTGAATTATGGCCTCTGTTTGACCAAAAAAAAAAAAAAATATATATATATATATATATATATATGTCACTTTAAGATGACATTGAAATTATATCCTAAGTGCTAGAGAGTTAAACAACAATAGGGAGCTTCCTACCTGCCCAAATGTTATGTGGACTTCAGACCCAGGTACTGGGTCCAAAACACTCAAGGAAACAGTTTCCCTTTTTGTGTGAAACCGGAGAGCTTGTTACATTCTACGAATATTTTTATGCTCTGCGGGGTCCCTAGCACCGGGTTTTGCACGGATCTCCCAATCGTAAACAAGTTAAAAGCAGCCCTATCCTCACAAAGTTTTGTTCTAGGAAATCAAAGAATCAGGCAATTATAATATATCCAGTATTTCCCCCCCTAAATCCAATAATGAAGCATTCTGCCCAGTAAGAGCAACTCACGAAAGAGGAGAGCACAAAACTGCATTGAGATGATGGAGAAATCAAAATGGAAAAGAGCCAGGGAATAGTACCCTCCCAAAAAGATGTGGTCGGGGGCTGCACTGTACACCCCAGAGGACCCCCCCCCACCCCGTAACTGGGAGGAAGCTAAAAAATGTAATGAAGGGAATTTGAAAACAAATGGACATCTTCTGACAGAATGTCTGTGAAGGATCTCTCACACCTCTTGGTTATTTCTGGAATATATGAGTGGGACAGGTTATCCCAGGCAGATCTTCAATTCTTTTCCTTAGCTTTAACATTTTCAAAATTTTTAGAAAGGTTTCCATTTACTGATACCATATCCCTAAACAGCTTCCTCCACTCTTCTCCAGTTTTATGTTCAATTAAAAACATTTTTTTTCAAGGGTGCCTGGGTGCCTGGGTGGCTCAGTGGGTTAAGTCTCTGCCTTTGGCTCTGGTCATGATCTTGGGGTCTCGGGGTCCTGGGATTGAGCCCTGCATCCAGCTCTCTGCTCAGCGGGGATCCTGCTTCCCCTTCTCTCTCTGCCTGCCTCTCTGCCTATTTGAGATCTCTGTCTGTCAAATAAATAAATAAAACCTAAAAAAAAAAACAAAACATTTTTCAGGTTTTATAAAAGCTACAGTGAAAAAAACGAGTACTGACGTTAGAGTCAAAGGAGCTTGGGTTGAAATCTTGGCTTTCTCTGTTACTGGTCCTGCAACCTGGGGAAAGCCAGCCTCCCTAAGCCTAAGCATAACATGGAACTTCTGTGAGTTAAAAGGTTTGGGGGTTATTAAATAAGACAATGAAAAAAATGCTTGGTGTCCTCAGTAGGTTGTTAATAAATATTGGTTGAATTTGGATGCATAATTCTTTCCAAATCTTAACTACTTTTTTCCCCAAATTTTATTAATTTTCAAAAATTCCTGAAACTATTTCATTGATCCTCTAATTATGTTATTTGGAAATATTTAGGGATTTAATGGATATGTGTTGTATTAAAGACATTCTGTTTAATCACAATACTAATTGTTCATTGAAAAAAATTTAACTTGCCATGAGATTCCTATCTTGGGTTTCTTTGATAGCTCACAGTAATTCAGAAACTAGAAATCCTAAAAAAAAAAAAAAAAAAAAAAAACTAAGGAAAAGCTGATTTGAACTTAAGGATATTTTGTAAGCTCCACCTGTCATCTAAAAAATTTGTGTGGGGGTTGGGGGGACGCGCCTGGGTGGCTCAGTTGGTTAAGTGTCTGCCTTTGGCACAGGTCATGATCCCAGGGTGCTGAAATCCTGGGCTCCCTGCTCAGCAGAGATTCGGCTTCCCACCCCACGCCCCCCCTACTGTTTCTCCCTGCTTTTGCTTTTTGTCTCTCTCTCTCAAATAGATGAATAAAATCTTAAAGAAATTTTAAAATAAATAAAATTGTGCCAGGGCAATCCTGTTGGGACCCATCTCACTCTTGAGAGCTTTTTCTGTATCTTTACTTAATAAACTTCTATCATTTACTCGCTCAAAAAATTAATTAAATACACAAATAAATAAATATTTTTTTAAAAAGTATGTGCTGTATCTTAGTACCTACTTAGAACACCAGCAATGCAAATAGGGAAAATCACTGCCTAATTGCAAGCCACTGAAATTGGAAGGATTTGGGCTTTACCTAGCTAATTTGTTTTTACTTTGGCATCACTTGAATTTTTTTTTTAAGTAGGCTCGACACCCAGGGAGGAACCCAACACAGGACTTGAACTCATAATCTTGAGATGAAGACAACTGAGATCAAAAGTCGGATGCTTAACTGAGTCACCGAGGCACCCCTGAAATTTTTATAACATTTTATTTCTTTAAATGATTTTATTCTGTGATTTCTAACAAAATCTAAGATTGTCCTAAATTTCACAGCAGAATATTACTTGGTATCTCTTGCAATTAAAGAGGTCTCAAAAACGATGTCTTCCAGCCTCTGCACACAAGTCCTCACAGGAGAAAAGCACCTCTGAAGATTCCCCCTTTTATCACTTTGGGATCGACTACAATAGCTTAAACACATACGGTTTCTTTTGTTCTCTCATATAAATGAAATTCAGGGATATGCAGTCCACATTCATGGTAGCTTCATGGACATCAGGGACCTAGGATTTTCCTTTCTTCACCACTTACATGGTCTGCAATAGAGGCTGGAACTCTAACCATCACATCCAACTCGCAGGCTGCAAGAAAAGGGGAAGGACAAAAGAGGAACGTTCTAGCAATTCTAGAAGTCCTAAAAGAGGACTTGGTCCACTTCCTTTGACCTCAGACTTTTCTAGTTGGGTTCTCCTTCCCAGCTTGTCTAGGCTCAGGCAGAAGAGCCTGAAGGCAAAGCATCCCCAGAGAGCAATCAAAACTACCCCCTCAAGCAATAAGGACTGCCCTGAGCCAGCAAGACACCACCCTTGACTGACTCCAACGACGCCACCCTTGACTGACTCCAACACAGTAAAAGATCTGACCTTCACCGCCCACGTGCCCTTACCCACCCACCTTTGCCCCACATTTTGCTTATATATACCTGGAAGTATGTGCAGCACTTTGGAGACCTTCTCTGAGACCATAGTCTTCTGTCTTCCCAGTACCAGCCTCACTGAAATTCCTTGTCTCATCACCACACGTCTCTCTGCCTTTGGATTTTGTCTGCGGTGAACGGCGGAACCTGGACTCTTTGGAACCCCCAGAGCCAGGTGCTCTTGTACCTCTGGCTACAATCCCACTGAACAATTATGGATGGATCTAGTTACAGTAAAGGCCGCAAAATAGTCTTCCAGGTCATGGTTCATTGCCACCCTAAGTAAAATCAGGATTTTCTTTAGGAAGAATACAGGCAGCTAGAAGTCCTTGCTGTACTCATAGTGCAAAGGGTCTGGTTCTCAGCTTAGACATTTTTTACTTTGACTGACTGGGGGTCATGTTCAGGGAAACTGATTAGTATTTTCCAAACTCATATGAGACTAATTTGCAAAAGAAGAATACCATTTATGCAGAATGAGGAATTCCTAGTTGCTTACATATAGTGTAGACAGGTTGCAGAAAATGTAGTTTACTTAAGAGGGAATTGGGCCGGGCGGTTAGAATGAGGTTTATGATGGTGACAGTGGTGACAGAAGGTGATTTAGGAATCAACCAGTCCAGCTGGATATTCCTGGTGTGTGGTCTGAATCCCTTCATTCTGAGGTCTGTTAGTGAATTCTCTTGCTCCTTTTACCCAGACTTTTCACACACTGCTAACAATTACTATAGTCAAGTTACAGGGCAAATTCTTCCTTTAGAGCAGAGGGGTTCAAAAGAGCTTACTTTGATCATGGTAATGTTCTGTATCTGCTCTAATACCATAGCCACTAGGCCACAAGTGGCTATGGCGTACCTGAAATGTGGCTAGTATGGCAATGGAACTGAGTATATACTTCTATTTCATTTTAATTCATTTAAATTTGACTATTCATGGCCTCAGAGCCCTATAATGTAAACTTTGTTAACTACTGTACCTCAGGAGTCAGAACAGGGCCTGACTCAGTAATTGTTGATAAATGAATGGATGAAAAAAGTTCTCATTTCTCTTCATTAAATTAAACCAAATCCCATCTCAGTTAATAGAATTCAGCATATATTCAAGACCTGGTGTAAGAGTGCTTTTCAAACTGAGAACTGAAAAACAACTTAGTGAATAATTAATTAAAAATGAAACAATTAAAAAAGGAATCACATGTAGTAAAGGTAAATATTGTTTCATGAAACTTATGTTTTAGAT